GACAATTAAGGGTAAGTATAATTTTTATTTTAAAGAAATGATTAATATTATTATTATTATATTCAGTTGAATTTCTTTGTCATTTTCCACTTTTCTTAGTATTGATTTTTTTTTTGTTCCAACCCTAGAAACACAATATTTGCAAGAGAAGTAATGCAGTGTACAAATAATATAAAGAGACACTGGCACCATAACTACTTTATCTAATTGAAAAGATTATTGTGCTTGGATGCTGGTTCATGGTTCAGTGCTAAAAAAAATTCTCAACAGTTGAATGTATACCCAGGCTCCCCCAATCAAAAAGGGTGCTAAATCCTTTCATAGTGATACCAACTTTAACAAATTTAAACCTATTTAGTTTAGAAAAAACGTTGCCTGAGAGGGGATATGATAACATTATACAAATATATTCGTGGCCAATACAATCCATTGTGTGGAAATCTATTAACAAACCGGACTTTACATAGGACACAAGGTCATGCGCTTAGACTGGAAGAAAGAAGATTTCGTCTGAGACAAAGGAAAGGTTTTTTTACTGTAAGAACAATAAAGATGTAAAATTCTCTGCCTGAAGAAGTGGTTTTATCAGAGTCCATACAGATTTTCAAACAGCTACTAAATGTATACTTGCAAAAACAGAATATTCAAGGATATAATCTTTCAATGCAGGGTAATAACTGCGTAATCCAAGGATAAATCTGACTGCCATTTTGGGGTCAGGAAGGAATTTTTTTCCTAGTTTGTTGCAAAATTGGAAGTGCTTCAAACTTTTTTTTTTGCCTTCTTTTGGATCAACAGCAAAAAACAAATGTGAACTCGATGGACGCAAGTCTCTTTTCAGCTATGTAACTATGTAACTCTTACCATCAATGGCAGCTGTGATAGACTGAGAATAGTCAGCTGATGCTTTTAGTCAATCACTGCTGTCCAACACAGCCTGTACTAATCCATTCCCATTGCTCTAAGCTGCAGAGAGGCTGGCCTGCGGGAGCCCAGAGACCCTCATGAATTGTGAGCCATCACCAGGGGCTCCAAACAATAAGGTGAAATGGTTATATAGTGTGTAGTGCACCTTTAAACTTTCCTATGAGAACAGAAAAAAGGCACGTTCCACACAGATACAATCACAGAGAATCTATGGATCACTGAAGTTATGGTGACAGAGAGACCTTATTAGGGATTTAATGTTTTAATGAATAAAATGAGTGAAAGGCATGTAACTCTCTGCTGCATTTAATTATTGTGCTTTATTGCTGAGCTTAAGCTGCGGATGACATCTGCACATTGAAAATATTATCACATTACTAAACATTGGGAAAATGTGTTATTAAAACACTAACCGTATATCATGGAATAAAATGATGTGTATGCAATCAGTTTTCATTCCTATCAGGCATCTGTTTTTTTTCATTTGTCAACAGCAGTCGTTTAGTTCATCAACCCATTCATAATTATTTTTATGGAAATGATGTTGCTTAGTACATGAACTCTAATGAGTAATATCAGCCAGTTATTAAATTGGATCTGGATGTAAATGAGGCATTGCATTCCTTTCGCGATTACTGTTTTGAGGTTGCATGGCAACATAAATCCTCTTTTTTTGTTGAATTTGTATCACAAAAATTTTTTTCCCTGCTAAATAGAAAAGGTCATACATTTAAAAAATAGTTGAAAAGAGTTGTAGCTGGAATGTTTTTGTGATGGGGATAAATCACATGTAAAAGTTTTTTCTAGTCAAAGAAATAAACAAAGTCAGTTTTGACTTGACTAGATCTTATCTAATTTTCTCCATCATTTATATCAATTATATTGTTTGGTTACTGGTAATTCTCAAACCTCAGAACCAAAACAAATCTAGTATTTGTTCTTTGTGTGTGGTAAGCAGAAATGCCCCTCTTTCTCCAAGTGTGCTCATACTTAAAGGGACACTCCAGTGCCAGCAAAACAAACCATTTTCCTGGCACTGCAGGTCCCCTCTCCCTACCACCCCCCATCCCAGGTCGCTGAAGGGGTTTAAACCCCTTCAGTGACTTACCGGAGTCCAGCCCTATGTCCCTCGGCACTGGTCCAGGGTCCGCCGACGCTCCTCCCCCGCCGACGTCATCCGGTGCTGGAGACCAATTGCACATGCGCTGCCCCCGGCGGGGTGAGACCTAATGCAAAATGCTTTCAATGCTTCCCTGCTTTTAGCGACGCTGGAGGTCCTCACATACCGTGAGGATGTCCAGCGACGCTATAGCACAAAATATGTGCTATGATCCAGGAAGTGCCCTCTAGTGGCTGTCTAGTAGACTGCCATTAGATTAGTTAACCCTGCAAGGTAAATATTGCAGTTTATGAAAACTGCAATATTAACAGTTGCAGGGTTAAGGGTAGTGGGAGTTGGCACCCAGACCACTCCAATAAACAGAAGTGGTCTGGGTGTCTGGAGTGTCCCTTCTAAATGACAGATTGGGATTTTGTTTGGTAATGTAAATGTATACATAACACATTAGAGAGTTACTCCAACCATTTCTAAATAAATGTATATTTAATGTATAATGCCCTTTTGGACAATTAGCAAAAGCTACCCCCTCCCTTATAAACTTTAAAAATAAGAGTAAACTTACTTGGAATCCAGTGACAGGTGAAGATTGCGTGCTGGTTTCTATGCCCCCGTCGTCATCATAGCCTCCCAAATGAGGTCCAATCAAATGCTTCTCATTGAAAAAGATTTGATTTGACCTTTCTCCCCGCTCAGCGTGTATGCACATACCTTGAGCCGTGAAGGGGAGGGAGTTTAAAAAGTGGAAATAGGAGGGTGGGAGGGAAATGTTTAAAAAAAATAAAGAAAGAAAAATGGAGCAATAAGAAATGGAGTTAGGGGGGTTGGCAGGAAAGCTTTCCATTGCAGTCACTGCCTACAATGATAGAAGCTGATCAGGTCTGTTACCAGTGTTCAGCAGGCGCTGATGAAAGACCTATTTTTTGCACAGAATTGATAAGTCACCAGCCTCTGGCACAAAAATACAGATTACCTTCGGATATACTACTGGAGGCATACTACATACACCAGGTGGCATGCTCAGACAAAAAGAGCACCTTAATACATATGATTTCTAGCTACCTGAAGAATTGAGATGGCTTGTAATGTGGGCCCTCTCCCCCTTGGCATGTGGGGGTTATCCTGGCAACTTGTTTCATGTTTCACGGATATGTTTGTGGTCGAGTACCTGTTTTGGATAGGGCTGCCCTTAATTATGGGGGACCTTCTATTTATTTTCTAATGCTTATTTGCTATCTCCATAATTGCTTGAAGACTGGCACACAGGTTTCTCTACTCAGACACTCTGAAGCTCAACTTACCATCACTCCAGGGGCCTTGAAGGGCTGCTGGGCCATTGCTGCTTCTTCTTAGCTACATCCTGCTGATTAGTATGGGAGCCTCTGCCTCTGGGCTTTGTGGAGGGCCTTGAGAAACTTGTCACCACCACTGGTAGCCATGAGGCTGTGCATCATCTGCCCTGAATGGTCGACAGCGTGAGATAAATACGACAACTTCTATATTGCCCCAAAAGAACTGTTTTGACACAGCGGAAGTGCAGAAGGAGGCTGGCTTGCAAAAACTGTGTGGGGGTGGTCCTGTGGACAAGCAAGGTTTCTAAGTGCCCACTGTGCTGAGGGACTCTTGATAGGAGGCATTTTCTCTGGCTTTATTGGGCATTGTATGGTTTAGGGGTTGGGTAGGTGTCCTTAACCCTTAGAGGTATACATCTTGCACCTTAAGAGAACAAAAGCTTTTTTTTGTATCTTTTCATGTGACAACACTAAAGAAATGACACTCTGCTACAATGTAAAGTTGTAAGTGTACAGCCTGTATAACAGTGTAAATTTGCTGTCCCCTCAAATTAACTCAACACACAGCCATTGATGTCTAAACCGTTGGCAACAAAAGTGAGAACACCCCTAAGTGGAAATGTCTAAATTGGGCCCAATTAGCCATTTTCTCTCCTCTGTGGCATGTGACTCGTTAGTGTTTCAAGGCTCTGTGATGTCCTCATGGAGGAGTGGAAGAGGACTCCAGTGGCAACCTGTGAAGCTCTGGTGAACTCCATGCCCATGAGAGTTAAGGCAGTGCTGGAAAATAATGGTGGCCACACAAAATATTGACACTTTAGGCCCTATTTATGCCTCTTTATGTTTAAATATTGACTTACTTGTAATACACATTTATTCTGTCATCTCCTCAACTTTCTGGTAAGCATGTTTATCAATCCTTATCAGTAGTTCAGTCTTATTTAGCCAGTTGGCTACTACATTAACAATAATACATTTTAAAAACTTGGGATACAGGTACTTCCCATGAAAAGGTCAGTTCAGTCCCTCATCCTTCTGAGTTAGATACATTTGGTGATATTGAGTATTGTTGACATTTTTCCCTTCGGGACAGGATTCTCCTAACTTTGGCCCTCCAGATGTTGTTAAACTACAACTCCCATGATTCTTTGGCTATATATTTCATACAAAGAATGATAGAAGTTGTAGTTCAGCAACATCTGGAGGTCCAGAGTTGAGAGAGCCCTGCTTTTGATCATACTTAGAAACTAGAGAAATACATATAAATTTTGAGCTGATATGAGGGATAATCTACCACATTACTATGTTTTTTTTTTTCAGCAGAAAAAGTGTTTTATTATTACGATTTCTTCAGCATCAAATTAACTGTGCTTGCTGGCTGAATATGGAAAATGTTCCAAGATTCCAATCTAGGTCAATCTAACTGGAATCATAGGCAGTTTGGTAGTTTATGTAAAAATAAATGGAGTGAATGGTAACAATTATTTCCTACTTAAACTAGCCTTCTCTAAAAAATTGCTGTGACGAGACCAATCTCGCCACATTGCATTGGAGAAGCCTGGTTGCTCGCCTGTTGCCTTTGGATTATGGCCCCATGTTAAAAGGCTTGATTTTCCCCTGCAAAGACATGAAAGCCTGGTCATTTTGTGCTCGCCCTTTTTGAGCGGTGATACTCCAGATAGCTATGCCATGGAGCCCATTCGTATAATGAAAGACTATGGGAAAGACTTTGGCTCCATGGCAATTGAACTGTATGTGTGTGATCTGAGCGCCATTCAGTAATAATGTGCGCTCAGATCTGAGCTATCTGGGGATATGTTGAATGTACCTGTTTTGTGCAATGGCTGCACAGTTATATGTTTTTATGTGTTTTATTGTCTTTTGCTGCCATGTGTTCAATGGAGTTTTGCCTCTGTCCTAGGAGATAATTGTATTACTTCCCAATTATCTCTAGGATAGAAGACTCTGTGGAACTGGTTTTGGGCAGAAAAGCCATGCTTCCTTTGGTCACAAAGGAGTACGATCTATCTTTTGAACCACTGGACCAATTTGTATGAGAATGTGATGCATACTTTTCAAGTTATGAATAATGTGGAAAAATTGTATTTATCTGCTTGTTATAATTACATTACCCATTGTGTAAGGTAATTGAATCACAGGCAGAGGGGAGGATTTTGTGTGGGAGTGTCTGAGTGTATTGTATGTGTTTCTTGGTTGTGTTCCAAAACCCTGTGGGTGGTACTAATGTGTAAGAATGTGTACATAAGCACAATAAACCACAGTTCTGACTGTTCACTACTTGACTCTCAACACGGAGCTTTGTCTCGTTCTTGGGGAGATTTATTGAATGCTGTTTGACTGCTAGGAGTGTAAACCTATTCGTATTGTTTTTCCTATTCGGCTGTTTACAGCATTCATATGGTTTCCTGTTCGTCGGATTGGTGTTCTGCAGTAGCTGTGCCTGTGTCTCTGGAAGGGGAAGATCTTTTATGCCTGGGGATGCCGTTACAATTGCGATACAAATATCCATGCAGATTTTCTATTTACTAATTAAAGGGACACCAAAACAACTTAAGCTTCATGAAGCAGTTTTTGGATAAAGATCACAGAAACATAGAAACATAGATTGTGACGGCAGATAAGAACCATTCGGCCCATCTAGTCTGCCCAATTTTCTAACTACTTTCATTAGTCCCTAGCCTTATCTTATAGTTAGGATAGCCTTATGCCTATCCCACGCATGCTTAAACTCCTTTACTGTGTTAACCTCTACCACTTCAGCTGGAAGGCTATTCCATGCATCCACTACCCTTTCAGTATCATGCTCCTGCAGTCTCGATGCTCAATTTATTCCTATTAGGGTTCAATTCACTTTTGTTTCTTTTTACACATCCTGCAAGATATTTTTTTTTTCATTTTCAATCAGATGTTAGTTTACTTTCAAAGTTTTTTATCACCTGCTCTGTAAATTGAACTTTAATCATACACAGAAGGCTCCTGTACGGTCTAGCAAGCTATTAACAGAGCAGGAGATAAGACATTCTAAATTAAACAGATAATACAATAAAGGAAGTGTACAATAAAGGAAGTGTATACATGAGATCTCACTTTACAGGAAGTGTTTAGAAAGGCTGTGAAGATTACACGCAGAGAGGTGTGTCTAGGGCTGCATAAACAAATTTAATAAACTCCTAAATGGCAAAGAAGTGAGACTGCAGGGGCGTGATCTATACACCAAAACAGCTATATTACTCTAGAGTCGCTTTGGTGACTAGTGTCCCTTTAAGGAGCAAAGTGTGTTGTGTTTTACATGAAAATATTGGCCTACTCAATATGAAAAAATTTCCATGTAAGTATCTCAACCCTAATTTTCAATCTGTTTTGTAGTTTATGCAAACCATTGTTTAACCCCTTAAGGACTGGACTGTTTTTGCGATGTTGTACATTTGCAACCAGGCCTATTTTTACAATTTTGTGGTGTTTGTGTTTAGCTGTAATTTTTCTGTTCTCTCATTTACTGTTCCCATACAAATTATATATTGTTTTTTTCAGGACAAAAGGAGCTTTCTTTACATACCATTATTTATATAATCTCATGTAATTTAATTTAAAAAAAATAAAAAAAATATGATGAAAAATTGAAAAAAAATATATGTTTTTTGACTTTTACTCATCTACAAAAGCGAATGAAAAAAAATGCTAAATAGATTCAAAATTTTGTCCTGAGTTTAAAAATACCCAGTGTTTATGTGTTTTTTTGCTTTTTTTTTTGTGCAAATTATAGGGCTATAGGTACAAGTAGGATATTGGGGTTTCAAAACATAAATTTTTAAAATTTATCAATAGTGACATTGTAACACTATTATATGTCATAAATCTCTGAATAACACCCCACATGTACATATTTTTTTTAAAGTAGACAACCCAGGGTATTCAATATGGGGTATGTCCAGTCTTTTTTAGTAGCCACTTAATCGAAAACACTGGCCAAAGTTAGCGTTCATATATGTTTGTGTGTGAAAAAAGTAAAAAACTAAATTGAATGCTAAATTTGTCCAGTGTTTGTGACTAAGTGGCTACTAAAAAAGACTGGACATACCCCATTTGCAATACTTTGGGTTGTCTTCTTTTGCAAATGGTATGCCATCATGGGGATAATTCTCATTCCTGGGCTGCCATACGCTCTCAAAGGCAACGTAACCAACCTGGCCTTTTTCAATGTAAAAATATTTGACCCATATATTTGACCCTGTAACTTTCAAAAACGCTATAAAACCTGTACATGTGGGGTACTATTATACTCGGGAGACTTTGCTGAACACAAATATTAGTATTTCAAAACAGGAAAACATATCACAATAATTATATAATCAGTAAACGTGCTGTTTGTGTGTGAAAAATGCAAAAAAAAGTCACTTTCACTGACAATATCATCGCTGTGATATGTTTTACTGTTTTGAATTACATATATTTGTGTTCAGCGAAGTCTCTCGAGTAAAACAGTACCCCCCATGTACAGGTTTTAGGGTGTCATAGAAAGGTACAGGGTAAAATATAGTGCTAGCAAATTAAATTCTCTGGACTTTCGGCCTGGGTTGGCAGGCAGGTCCCTCAAATTGCAATCAATAAAATTACTTAATTATGTAAAATCATTACATAAATACGCATGTAGAATTTAAATATATATGCATATTTATATATTTGAAGTCTACATTTATATTTATATAATTATTTATGTAATTTTGTAAATGGACATATGTATATTTTGTATTATTTTTATTTATTTATATATACATAAATATATACAATCTCATTCTAAGTGTATTTTGATATATATATATATATATATATATATATATTACTATCAAAATACAGTTAGAATAAATTTTCATATAGATACATATTTTTTTTATTTTTTTTATTATTTTTACATGTTTTTATTTCATTTAAATTACTTATTATTTGCATTTTATAATAATATTTATATACAATATATATATATAGTTATTATATATATATATATATATATATATATTATATATATGCGTGTAATTTAATTATAAGTGTATTTTTATATTACTATATGTACATAATATAAAAATACACTTAGTATGACATTATATATATGATATATAGACATATCATATTTATATACACATATATAATTATTATTTTTTTATTAACATTAACAGTAATTTTTTTCAATGATTTTACACATGCAGGGAGACTGCCTGTCAGCACAGGCAGTCCCCCTGCAGGCAGACACATGGACACCTATTGTGACCATGTGATCTCTCTGTTGAGCGATCACATGGCCACAGGGGTCCTAATCCACCATGGGGAAACTGTCTGGGCTGCAGGCAGTCTCCCCACACCGGGAGCAACACCGATCGCCGCCGGGGGAACGATGGCGATCATGTAAGTACATTGGACCGTTAGGACGGTTCAGGACCGTCACCGGTCGGCAATGGAAAAATGCAGATGACGGTCCTGAACCGTCCTCGGTCCTGAAGAGGTTAATGAATGAAACTCTGCTGAGTGTTCCATTCAGTAAATATGCTGATTCTAAATAAACATTAACTCTGAAGTAGTACTGATGCCTTATTTTCTAGTGTCAGCTCTTGTGATAAAATCACATTATTTCTCTCTCCCTCTGGCACCAATCTGTAGAACATATTCTAATAGTTAATGTCCTGTGTCCCTCGAGATCATTGAAATGTATAACTGTATATGCTGTTTTTGCACAAACAAGCAACTAAATAGTAATATTGTATTTGACTAGGAACAAATTGTACCTCAAAAAAAGAATAAATAATCATACTGATAAAATTGTTTTTATATATATATATATATACACACAAACACAGTGTGAATTCCTTTGAAATGCACACATTAAACAAATAATTTACTATTAACATTAATACAGGACACAATTTGACAGATCATTGGGCAAGGTTTGCCTAAAATAGAAGTCAGTGATATGTTTTCAAACTAAATGCATACTTTGACATTTTTGTCAGATAAATAGGAGGACAGAGCACACAGTAATACTTACTGATACAGAGTTACCACCAAGCTTGGATAACACTACACTATTTGTAATAATGGCCAAACAGAGTTGAATCAGGTGTAGTCAGCCATTGTGCAGGCATCATCTTTGTGATGAAATATCTATATCAAAAAGACAACAACACCAATGGTTCTGTCTTGAACAATGGTTACGAAGATGTAAGGATCCCCATCTTATCAGCACTGTATCAGTAACTCAGGACACCGTATGGTTGAAAGGTTGTGGTTCAGAGACAGCTACGAGCCAACTCCTTTATATTTTTGTCATTGAAGGAGGAATTTTACAATGCACACATAACTTGCATTGATTTCGCTGTCCGCCACGGCAATGTATCATGATTAGTTGTCCATTGTCTAGTTAATAAAACTATGAATGGAGCTGTTAAAACATTGTGCTGGCTGCAGAGTGGCTACTATTAGCTTGCTGGGCAGTTCCACTAATATGTGATGATTGGAACTATAGCTGAGAGCTAATCTATGCCCCCCTTAAACTTCTGCTGGGGAAGGGATTCTTGAAAATAAATAGATTCTAAAATTCTCTTGATTAGAGCATCATATAGTGTTCTTAAACTGTGTACTTTGTCTTTAAGAGATTTTGCAAACAGACAAGTTGTTAGAAATGGAACATATTGTTTTTCATACAATGTTTTTTTAATAAATTACCTCTTACCCATATTCAGTGAATATGGTGTTCAGACTTTAGGAAGCCATCTTGTCCTAGGTTAGTGGAATTCCCCATGTCAGGGAATTTCCCATGTCATGTGCACCCCTACTTTTTAGTTTAAACATAGATAAGATGTTCCCATGTGAAAAGACCAAGTTATGGCCTTGGTATCTTTGCCAAGTTAAAGTAGG